GAGAGAGAGAGAGAGAGAGAGAGAGAGAGAGAGAGAGAGAGAGAGACCCCCGCACCTTGTACATTACACCCTTAAAACATACTGATGTTTGAAAATAAGTGGAACCATTGGTAGTTTTTTTTTCGTCAAGAATAAAATGCTGCGGTGCTCAGTACACCTGTCCCGGGCCCTTCCAGACCAGTCCAGGCCAGACAGTGGGTAAGGTGAGGGAGGTAAATGCTCCACCACCTGTCTCCCCTGTCCCTGGTAAGATGCCTAATCCAATTCAGAGGTGCCGGCTCATATTCATTTCAGAAGTGGGGGGGGAAGTGTGCGTGTGTGTGAGAGAGAATGTACACCAATTTTTTTCTTGCCAACAGCTGATCTGCTCTGCATGCGTCATTCTCCCTATCGTTGACCACACACTGGCTGTGGCTACATGAAACATGTGGTTCTCTTTCATAGCATTCGTTGCGCGTCTCATTATGGGAACGCCTCCTGCGTGACCTCTTCAGAAGGGATAGGGATGCCTATTTCAGGAGGGGATGGAACCCTCCTCCTGTATGTTAGGCAGACAAAGTGTCAGTTACCATTTAAAAAAACGTTTTCTCGCTTCACACAGAAGCCAGTCGATAACTGTGCTAAGCTTAACTGTCCATGCACTCTGGTGCACAACTCGGGTCAATGGACGCTTTGTTGGTGTACAGTTGTATACTAGTTATGAACAATTGCAATACTCTTCTACGGCTAGTTTTGGTGTACCAATACTTTTGCCATAGGAAGCAACAATACTTTCTAAAACGAAAAGTAGCAATACTTTTGCTAATAAAAACAACGTTAGCAATACGAGCAACATGTAGCAATACCTTGCAACAGGTAGAGTTATCAATACTTTACAACAGGCCGTAATACCCCCAGAAAGGTAGCACTAGTTTTTTTGTCAAAGCTAGCCGGGAAAGTAGTGATATTTAACCTTACACTCGCCCAGCTGCTGCTAAATATGTCCAAGGGTGTGGCTGCGTTACCTGGGCCGATCTGGGCGAAGGCAGACCCCCCCCAGCCTGCGGCCCCGTTTGCACGTCATCCTGGAGGAAGATGATGATGATGTGAGAGTTAGTCGGCTGACTTTGAGCTCCTATGATATAGAGGAGGAATCTATCCTTGCTAACGCTCGCAGGGATGCAAAGCCTCTGACGCTGAGGGAGGAAACCAGCCTTCTCCATCGTCTGCCCTGGATCGTGACATGCAGGATATGAAAACCCCCTAAAGTGCAGGTGACCCCACAGCCCCCAAGAGGTCCCAAAAACCTGTGACCCCATGGCTGTGACAGTCTAGCCGCCTTAAAGACGTGTGCTGGCGAGAAGAAGGGCAGCACAGGAGGGTGCCAACATGGCAGCTTTGACAAAATGGGTAGTCAGCCCACTCTGCGAATGGAGGGCGTGGCTGCCTGCAATCAGTCAAATGGTTGTTGAGAATGATAGATAAGGGCTACAGACTTCTATTCAATATCACTCCATCACATTTCAAAGAAATTGCCACGTTTACTAGTACAAGCAAACTTGAATACACAAACATGACAATGAGTCAGACATGCAAGGAATGATGGAGACATGGAAGGTGGGGTGAATTCTCATTGCTGGTGTCAGACAAAGATGGATAGCTGCAGGATTGATGACCCAAGAAACTGAGAATGGGCCCACGAAACAGGGAGCCAACTTCTTGGACTTTACTCTGAGGGGAGGGGAGAAAGCCAGAAACATTGCTCCAGTGGGCTACAATGGGGTGCGGGGAAGCAACGTCAGTTTGCAGACCGTTGATAATGGTGGGAAGAGTGCAGGAGCATGGAGTGGGCCTGCCTCCAGGTACGTCAACACTGCTGGACAAATGCCTGGACTGAGGGGACCCTGCCTCAAGTTCATGCTCAGGGAGGAGTGGTTGGTGAGTGACTGGTGGCTGATCTGGGAAGGGTGTTGTGGGCATACTGGATCCACAGGAGTTGCTTAGACCAGAAAGAGAGGGGTTGCGGGAGGAGAGACAAGGCTGTCTCAACATCTTGATTCATTTGCTCGGCCTGACCATTAGATGAGGGTGGAACCCAGTTTACAAACTGACCAACAGCGAGAGATGAATTATGGCCCCCGGTCTGAGACTACATCATTGAGAAGAACATGCAGCCCGAACACATTTCACAACTTAACTTCAGTAGTTTCTTTGGCAGTGGGTAACTTTGAGTAGTGGAATCAGCAGAGCACACTTGGAAAACCGATCAATGTCAGTGAGTATGAGTTGCCATCAGAGAAAGGTAGGCTTGTGACGAAATCCAAGAAGATGTGGGACCAGGAACGACGAGGAACTTGAAGGGGATGAAGAAGGCCAGAGGGAGCTTGGCAAGTGCTCTTATGTTGTGCGCAGAACTGGTAAGCGACGATGAATCCCTTGGTGTCCTCCTCCATTGAAGTCCACCAGAAGCGTTGTCGTAGCAGCGCGAAAGTGCGTCTTACCACTGGATGGCAAGTCAGGTGGGAAGAGGAGCCCCACTGTACCTGAGGACTGAGACTGACCAGGACAAATAAACTGTCATCAGGACAAGCCCTGGGAGCAAAGTGTTCAGCATGGGAGGTTACCAGGTTACCGCACCAATGACAAATGCATGAGAGAGGATACCTTCAGGGTGGTTGAGGTCCCCCCAGTTACACACACTGGCACACAGACTAATAGTTTGAGGCAGTGTGCACCTGCAGTCACTGACAGCAACTCATGTACCGGGTGTTCTGAATTTCGGGGAGGATTTATTCTCCAGAGGCACCCACGTTATGTGGAGTGGAGACCTCATCGCGAGATGGTGATACAGATTGGATTACGGTTCATGGGCATTTATGCTACAGTAGAGAATGCTCAGTGCCCCTTGTTCTTCTCTGTACATGATCAGAGAGCCCCGATGGAGATGGAAGTGCTGGCACACTAGTGGCTGAAGCCCCTCCTTTATGCATTACCCCTAGTAGTTCTTATCCCTTCAACTCTGGCCAGAGTGAGGGAAGGAGGCCCGTCTATGATCCGGGTAGCTCTGCGTCGGCCAGGGCATGTGTTTTAGAGCTGTTGCTCAAAGTCACAAACTATTCCTTTTTATTGTTCTGTGACAGGGATTTATTGTACAATACCTTATTGAGAAGGGTTAGGCTTTCACAACCATCAAGATATACAGTACGTCAGAAATGGCCTACACTAAGGCCACTGGGCCCATCGTGGGACATGATCACTGTTCCATTGCTCTCTCGTGTTTCCGTTTTGCACCTTTAGAACTATTAGAGTTGAAATGCTGACCTTGAAGTTGACTTTTTTTACTTGTTGAAGCCTCGACTAAATGCATCTGGGAGTTTTATACGCTTTCCTTGCATGTGTACAGTTTTTTCTTGGTAATGCTAAGGTCAGGCTCATCCAAAAAAACATTTAACTTCACCTTAATTTCTGTTTTTGATTATTTATATAACAGGTTAAGAAATCACCAAAATGTCTGGGTACTCCCAAAAAAGTTAAAACATTTTATCATTGTGGCACCATAAGGGGCGGTGAAAAATTTTGGGTGCACCTAAATTATCTGCCGGTGCACCTAAATGAAAAAGTTAGGCTCACCAGTTCAACAGATTATAAAAAGTTAGTCTGGAACCCTGACTGTATGAAGTGAAAATTTTCTTTGCCCTGTAGTGTGGAGTCTATTTAAAAACATAGATAAAACTTGGGCTTGGAAAAATATCCTTAAAGAAATATAATATAGGAATTGTCGCCCTCTGTTTGTAAACACAACATTCAAAGTTCGCCCCTCCTCCCCATGGCGCAACGACACCAGAAGCGCACCCTCCTGACGGTGTTTACCAGAACAAAGACCAGTGTAGTACCGGCAGCATCAAATACGGCAGCTGAAATGAAAGTCAACCCCAGATTCCGTCTTGTTTTGGAATGAGTTTTGTCCTCTATATTTTTTCGGCGTTGTGTCTGCACCATTTTCGTAGCATCCTCTTGGATATGTATTTGTGCATGCGTAGGGGCTACACACCCGGTGCCCAAAGTTATAGGCAGAGGGCAGGATTTCTGCAGATACAGACCCCCCTACACACTTCTAATGGGTCATACGTGATGATTGAGAAGAATTACATTTGTATAAGTCTATACATAGTAGTTTTTTTCCTGCATTGTATACCTTTTTGTCACGGGGTGTGGTGGAGGACTCAAAAGCAGGCAGTCAGATGCAGTGAGAAACGGGTTTTAATGAGATACGAACAAAACAGGAATCTTTACCGGAACACAACAGGGAATCCAAGGACGAGACTGAACTCTAGAGGCTGGGGATCAGGAGGGGAACTGAACTCTCGAGGCTGGGGATCAGGAGGGGACCTGAACTCTAGAGGCTGGGTATCAGGAGGGGAACTGGACTCTAGAGGCTGGGGACAGGAGGGGAACTGGACTCAGACTCTCGGAGACGGGGCTCCGGGGAACAGATCTCAGACTCTCGGAGACGGGGCTCCGGGGAACAGATCTCAGACTCTCGGAGACGGGGCTCCGGGGAACAGGACTCAGACTCTCGGAGACGGGGCTTCGGGGAACAGGATGCAGATTGTGGCTCGGCGGCGGCCGGAACTGGAGGTCGCTGCGGCTCGGGGGCGGTAGCAACTGGAGGTCGCTATGGCTCGGCGGCGGGAGCTGGAGGTCGCTGCGGCTTGGAGGTGGCGGCGGCAGGAACTGGAGCCCGCTGTGGCTCGGAGGCGGCTGTGGCGGGAGGCGGCCGAACCGCTGACCGGACTCGGCGAGCTGGAGTTCGGTCGGACCG